CGAAAAGGACAGGCCGAAAGGAGAGGGAGGAAATGGAGAGAGAAACAGAGAGAGCTCAACACAGAATCTTGTTTTGAGTGGAAAAGAGAGAGAGGTTAGTTTAGTTATAAACACACAGACAGAGAGGAAGACAAAAGGGAGAGAAGCTGCTGTGCCGAGTAAAAATGAAGCAGCAGGAAAACGAGATCACTCATTCATCCAACAGCCACACTCTGATCCATATAATGAATACATGGAAGGGTTGTACATCCCAGACGCCACAGGTTGGCCTCCCTGACCTAAAGGACATCATGACTGTCAGGGCTATTTGTCAGTATTACACCGGCTGTTGCTGGACACCAACCTGTTTGACGTTATAACCGGCCTTGGCACTGGTCTCTATGTACATCACATTGAGCTCACGAGCTTTCCTCTCTGCCGCCTCAACAGAAACTTGCCTGCCATGGTCCCGGGAAGGGAGGGGGGGGGGGGGGGAGTGGTGTGGAGTGTGGTGTTGAGGGGGGAAACACAACAAAAAAATTAAAAATAAATAAATGACCAAAATGACATGGAGAGAACAGAGCAGAAAAGGGAACAAACAAAAAAAAAGTAAAAAAGAAAAAAGGCAGAACAGAAATATGATCAAATCATAAGAAATAAAAAATATAGAATTAAACATTTAAAATCACTAATAAAAAAGGCTGGAGTATGCAAAATACCAAGGGATGATAAAAGTCAAAATTGGATGAGATGCACTGAGGGGAAGAAAAGTGGGATTCCAGGCTTTGGCAGAGTTTATATACTATTATACTTAATGCTACTCAAACTGTAGTAGGATTATAAAACCACCGTCTACTTATCAAGCATTCTAAACATAATAACACAATTATACATACAACAATCATTGTAATCTTTCACACATCTCACACAACCATGTACCTTTTATCCGCCAAGTCTGTTTTGTTCCCAACAAGCATGATAATGACATCACTTCCTCTCTCTGTTCTAACATCATCAATCCACTTTGAGGTTTGCTGGAATGAATTAAGATCTGTGGATGAGAAAAAACACACACAAAATGACTGTACACATCAACCACATATGGCCCCAAAAAAGATAAACATTTGTTATTCTAGCTCTAGTTAAAAGTGTGCACAAGCAAGTGTTATTTTTCATTAAAAAAAAGGTAGAGCATCTTATGTAGCGTAGTTGTTTTAGTAAGCAAACGTATTAAGAAGAGAAGATTGAAGGAAGAAAATATACTTAAAAGAGATTCTGAAAGAAGGCAGAAAGAGAAATAGCAACTATGACAAGACAGTGTCCTTTAAATTGCTCTCAACCCCTACAGAAATGTTAGAGTACAGCCCTGACTCACTGGTGATGTCATAAACAACCACGGCAATGGTAGAGTCACGGATGTAGCTGGGAATTAGGCTACGAAAACGCTCCTGTCCAGCAGTGTCCCAAAGCTGGAGTCGGACCTGGAGGATTGGAGCGGAGGGGAAGAAAAGGGGAAGGAGGAGGAGATAAAGAGGGGAAAGGCAGAACGAGAAAGTGGAGAATAGGACAGACATAAAGGAACCGAAAGCCAAGCAGCAGAGATGAAAATGGCCTTTTTAAATCAAGGAACGGTGAGAATCATTCAAATGCAGCAGGGTTGGAGATGACCAGCGTGCAAATAAGACATGTAAAAGGCGTTCGTGCTGAATCATTATTAGGACTGTTAGAGAACCATGAGGTGACATCGGAAGGCATTTTCCGCTATTCCTTCCATCAGCCTCATATGTAGCAGCCTTTATAATGCACAGACCCCCCTGGACACCCCCTGAGAAATGTTAAGTATCACTGCAGCTGATGCAAACGGTCTGGAATGTACCCTCATCATACTGTCCAGTGGGGTTTGCCAGGCTAGAAATTTTCTTACTTTTGCCCTTCCACAGACTAAAGCGAAGGACAAGGAGGTAAGTCAAGGCTATGATACCTACTGGCTATGTCATAAACCACCACAGCAGCGGCTGAGTCTCGGATGTAACTGGGGATGAGGCTGCGGAAACGCTCCTGTCCGGCTGTATCCCAGAGCTGCAGCCGAATCTGTGGCCAGCCGTGAAATGAATGTGTGAAGTGGGGGCATTTCATGACCCAGCCAGGGGATGGAAGGAAAACAAAAACTTAAAATAACGATGGGAACTAAAAACATGATCAACATGTCTAACAAAGTGAATGGTAAAAATCTAAGATAATGTAGAAACCAATGAGAAATGATGAATGGGAAATAAATGGTGGCTACTACACAATAAGCAGTTGCATGCTTTAAACTTTTCTAGCAGTTTTAAAACTACATCAATGTGAATGATGAGAATGGCAATAAAATATAAAAAGGGCTTACCGTGCGATCTTCTAGGTACATGGTTTTTGACAAAAAGTCAATGCCAATTGTTGCCTGTAAAGACAATCATTGCACTGTTATAGGCACAATATCTGCATAACTTCTACACCTAAAAATCATGAGACAAAAGGTGTTTGATGTCATTGTATTAACATGATCTATAGACCTTTTTAACAGCATTTGTTTTGTACTTGTTATAGTAGGAACAGCACAGGTGAAACTTAAACATTAAGAATGGCTTTGTGGCAGTTGGTTGTTCCCTATTATCATGCTGTGTCAAGTCATCAGCACTAAAAAAAGGATCTGGAACTGGGCGATCATGAACAGCAAACATCAATTAATGTTATAAATGACACCTGTTCTTATCAAGTCATAACGTTTATCATGAAAAATGACACCATACATTGATATGAATACACTTAATTAGTACCGTGGCACATTAAGTCTGTGTCACATTGCGATGAACACATATCATTACCTGATAAGTGTTGTCGAAACTGTCATACATAAACCTGGTGATGAGTGAGGTCTTCCCAACTGTACAAACACAATAACAGACACATTAACATTTGATCCTGGTAATCAAAAGCCTGTATTCTACAATACACATTTCTATCACTTCTAATTTTGTATAACTGGAAGAAAAAAAATAAATAAAACCCCCCAATATGACTCAGTGACAGTACATTGCTGTTCTCATTGATGCAATGTGGACTGCTGAACCCACACGCTGAGCTGGCACTATGGGTGGAGCCACACAAATTGGGAAAATGAAAATGGCTCAACTTTTCCCCATTTGTTTCGTGATGAGAGACTATCACTGCCGTATTATGCAATCACAACTAAAATACAGTCGCGTACAATAATGTCACTGTCAGTCCCAGTACGCTGACGTTGAATGGTCCGGGTGGTGGTGGTGGTGGTGGGGGGAGGCCGACTGGTCTGGACCCACCGGCCGACGTGGCTCTGCAAGGTACTGCCGTAAGAAGCTAACAGCTAACAGCTAGGGAGTTCAAAAAGCGACAGATAAAATATAAACTTAATTCCCTTCACGTATACGGGTTCTTCTGTTTGGGAGCAAAGATTCGTGACAGACTCTTGATGGCCACGTTTGGGTTTCAGTACGGTATTAATGAACGTCAACAGTAGCTAACGTTACTGTTAGCTAAAAGTAGTTAGCCAGCAACCGTTAGCGACAGTTAGATGATGCATCATAAACTAATGGCCACAGTGAGGCCAGTGTGCATTGTTTTAATCTGGCAACAAACCAATATGTGGATGAATGACTAACATTAATCTTTATGACGATAACTCTTACTTATTACAGGCATTTTCCGTCGCAACGAAGAGCGAGATGTTTGGCTAGCTTAGCGATTTACCGTAGCCGGCTAGGTTGGCTATGCAATGACATCATCACGAGTGAGAAGAGATTTTATATCCATCATCTTTTACCATCTCTCTCTCTCTCTCTCTCTCTCTTATAAACACCCGCGCTGACGCCGAAATATTAACATCTCGCTTTGTATCATCACTGGCCGATGGGTAACTTCATCCTGCTAGCCACCAGCAACCTAGCAGGAGAAGCTAGTTAGCTCCGGTCATCTTAGCCACTTCTCCTAAACAGATTCCTCACATCCGACCAAATTAACACCCCAAGTCTACCGTCCCCTGCTTACCACTCTGTTCGCCCAGAAAGACGAGCTTGAACTTTCGTAGAGGGTTGCCAAACTCTCCGCCGCCGGTCGTGGTTGACATCTTGTCAAAAAATAAAAAGTGATAACTAGCTGACTTGGCTAATGGTGTGATGTCTAGACCGGAGAGGAGCAAGTAGTGTATCTTTATCCTGCTCTAGCCAGCGCTATTGTTTTCTTAAGCGTACTGAAGGGAAACAGCGCAACCAAGAGGCAAACGTTGAGAGACAACAGCAGTGCTAACGTATAACCTTATTATGTGTCCATTTTATCATTAGTTATCCATTGCTATTTCTTTTATGCGTCCACCAAAGTGATGTTTCTTTGGATATTTACACATAGCTGACCTGCTGGAGTATTATTAGCACACACAGTGGTTGTGTGAGTCCCAGTTTTGGGGCAAATGAGCAATGTGAAAGCCACACTAGTTGGCAGAAATATATATTTACACTATGTGTTGTGGTAAGATTCAAAGCAGTGCTTTAAAGCAGTGGCTCTCAATCCCAGGGGTCCCTGAGAAGGTTCCAGGGGGGGTCCCCAGTAAAATGGGGAATGTTTTAGTTTCCCTATAAAGTTCACTGAGTAGAAGTTTTCCCAGTCAGATAGGGCTCCTTCAGACTATATCTTATCAAACACAGGTCCACCACTGGTTTAAAGCAACTACTCAGAGCAACATTTCAGTGTGTCTGTGTGGGTGTTAAATTTAGTCCCAAACAAAATACACACAGTTAACATAAAAATTACAAAAAAGTACAGATTGATCCCAAGTGCTTCGATAACAAAATGCTTTTTCACTATCTTTTGTTGGTGAAATGATTAAACAGTCAATATCTTTTTTTCTTTCAATCTGGCATTTCTGTAATGAAGCATTTTCTTAAAACGTTTTCAAAACACAAAAAATTAAAATAAAACTACTGACCAAAATAAACAACCATAAGGGATAATTCAGGGAAACAATGTGTTTATTTACCTCTCTTGTTGATATATAGTGACACAAGTAAAGGTATTTCGGGGATATTCATCATTCAGCTGTACATTAATTCATAATATATCATGGCTCTAATCACACCATAATAACATTAAGGATTAATAAAACAAGTTTAATATTCATAACACATGGAAACAAAAGTAAACTCTATACTATGGGACATTTCTTTTGACAAACAAAAATATACAATACATGTTTATTTCTACTTATTGCTATGATGGCATCAAAGAAACTGAGTTTAGGACTCGTGTGGTGATGCCTAATAAAAATGTATCTGTACAGGATAAATAAGAGCATTGTAGTCACTCAGGGACACTTTGTGCTTTTGTTCATTAGTGTTTAGTTCCTTTTTGTTCTGTGTTCTCTTCTCAGAGAGGTGATTTTCCTTCGCTGGTCGTCTCAACCGTCCATGGACTCGATTGAGATGTCTGCCCTGTTGGCAAGAAATGTACAAACAGCTGATTCTTTTTAGTCCAACATTACACCAAGGTAACTCATGGAATGAATTTCATCTGATTTTATATTCAGTCAAGGGTAAAACAGGTTCTGTGCAAATGGAAATTTTTACAACATAATGGCAGCTACCCTTTATCTAATGCATTAGCAAAAAAATCCTCTTGGAGATGGAGCAACGATGGTTCAAATGCAGCAGGGTTGTAGGGTGAAGCAGTGCACTCATACAAGGGCCATCACATGTAGGCTTCTCTCAAATGACCTCCGAACCTTTCTTATGCAAATGCAGTCTTTTGACTGTATTGTTGATATGTGTCATGAACAAGATATAACATCAGAGTGCTCAAATTAGATATTTATTTCATATATAAGACATGCGGTGTAGCCCTTGAAGAAGTGGACTGTATACAGTATGTTGAATTGGCAGTGACCTCACCTCAACTAAAAAGGCCTTTACTCCAATTTGCTGTGGTTCATAGCACAAAGGAGAAAAATAACAGCAGCATGTCACCAAAATCACAGCCACAATATATACAATACATGTCTTTTTATAGAGACAGTTTAATACTTACACTTCTGCTCAGAATACAGCAAAGGTACGCAATAAATGGATAAAATGGGAGGACATACATGGCATGTATAAGTGAAATGTATCAAGAAGCATTTAAATGGCAATCATATGATGATTATATTATAAACCCTGCACTCACCTGCAGGTTTTGGGGACATCAGAGTCAAAGGAAGCTCCACAGTGACATCGCTAAAAATGAAAATAAAAGTTTTTATGACTAAAAACTTATAGAATTGTAATTTATATATTATTTACACTAAGAACACATGACTACAAATTAAGGAAAACCAATAGTTACCTTCCTGTTAGGCTTCCCAGCAGGCTTTTGGTGACAGAGAAACAATAAAAGACGCAATTAGTCTTCATAATTTGTATCGTGCATGAATATTTTCTTTTCAGTTAAGCCTTACCCTCCACCGGCCACCATTAGATTGACCTTGACTTTATAGGACACAATGATTCCCTGCATCTCCTTTTCTCCCTGACTCCTGTGAGGAGACAGAAATAGTTTACCTTTCACAGCTTGAGGATTTGGTCTAAGACACGATAAGTGGATGACAGAATGTAGAGTTGTATCACCACTAAATAAGAGGATGAAAACCCGTGCTGGGCTCACAGTAAGCCCTTTGCAAGAGACCTAGAGCGGCTTACAGGGTAGTGGATGCTAGGTGCGTGTCCTCATCTTTTAGCCGCCCGTCCACTGAAAGACCCCGTTTCTCTTTGTTGTTGGCCAGCAGTGGGGTTATTTGGAAGGACTTCTCGAGTGTAGAGCTGGCGTTTACTGTCTCCCTGTGTATTGCAGTGAAATTTAGAAATAGATAAATAGGAATACATGTTAACAGCCAGTTGACTTTTCAATATATACTTTGCATTTAAAATTAAATGTAACAACGACAAAGCAATGTTTCCGCTGTATCGCTGTATAGATAAAATTTGAGGATGTTAGGATGTGATAATATACTTCAGATGTAATATACAGACAGATACTTCCTTCTTGAATAAAACTGATTCTGAATCTTGCTAATAAACATCATTTGATTACAGTGCAAAGCCTCACCCGAACTCCTCAGAGCAGACTGCCTTGACGTAAGTGTCGGATGAGTAGAGCACCACGTTTGTTAGCTGCTCAACTAAAAGAAAAAATATATCTCTGTTAGAATTATCAGTCAACATTTATGAGCATGTATTATAAAGACAAAGATGAACCCTGACTCAAATTATTTTTCTCTTCCTTCTCTTATGAGCTACAAACTTTAATCAAACTTTCCTCGCTACTCACCTGAGACTTTGATTTTCTTTACAACCTTGGTGGTTTCGTTGTTGATTTTTACCTTGACAGTGATTGTTTCTCCGTGATAATAAATCTAAATATAAGGATAGTTTATTTTGAATCATTAGGCAACAGTTATATTATGTATATATTGCCAAAAAAACAATATGTAGGCTTCAATGTCAACCTCTTTTTCAAGGGAGGCCTCCAAGTGAACAGGTTTGTCAGACATCATAAACTGCTTGGTTATATCAGCCTTGGGTCCGGCCTTGTTGTTAGCTGGTGCAAATTGTATTTTGCGAATCATCAGGCGACATGTGTCCCTAAGACCAGAAAAAATACACACAAAGAGAGTGAGGGTCTTTAATCCTGCTACAGCTTAAAGAGGCAGTAGAAGATTGGGCTGACAGTAAGGTTTAGCTCTAGGCATACATACTTCTTTTCAATGACTTCATCTGCATTGTCCGCTTCATTGGCAATGTATCCTTTAACCTCAAAGTCCACGCCACAAGCCTACAACAGAAAAAGACAGAAATAAATGATTTGTTTTGAAAATTGAAAGTTGTGTATAAGAGTAAATGAATATGCACGGTAAAGGTACCTTGCCAGCATCATTTGGCCCAGGCTGTAAGGAGACTGAGCATGGGAGATTTGTTGGCATCTGAAGTACAAACAAGGCACATTATTAAATTAAGATCCTGAGTGGAAGGTAAAGGTGAAGTCAATGATCTGTGATTGATCGAGATGACATTTGACTGAAGGACAGGTGATATTAAATCTGTTAAATAAAGAGTGAGTGAGTTATGCTTCCTCACCTGGAAGGAAAAAGGATATCCCTGCTCTCCAGCTTTTTTCAGGAGGGATTCCTGCATTGGTGTCTTGTTTATGCTTTCACCTGTAGGTGGATAAACCTGAACACGCTGGACCCAGATGTCTCTCCTGAAGGACAGCCCAATAACATCCAATTCATCGCTTCCATAGCGAAAGGCACAAGCAAGGTAGACAAATACTGCAATGGAAAAGGATATATTTAGTTTTGTTGCATAACTGTAGGCTCTACAACTTTAATCATTGGCAGTGATTGAGATAGAAATACCTTTTCTGCCGTTAAGATCAGAAGGATCCACTTTAATAACACCGTCTGTAAATTAGAGGAATTTCATTATACCTAACAAACACATTCATTGTATGTGTGTAAATTTGAGGCTGTACAAACAGACATAGTGCCACATACCAACTACATCCACTGAATCCAGATGGTCCACAAAGTCTCTCCTCCCCAAGTACAAGGCAATCTGAGAGAAACAGAGAAAAGCAGAGAGTTACTCCTCTGCCAAGGTTACAAGAGTTGGGAAGTTATTTCTGGGAGTTGGAAGAGATACATACAAATTGCACTCCTCCCTATACTCAAGAGGTTCCCTGTAATGACTATATTATAGAGGCCACTTACATTTCCATTGCCGCTGGTCTTCTTAAATACCCTGAAAAGAGCAAAAAAAAAAGAGGAAAAGACAGAGAATCAGACTGTTATGTTACACCTTTGAACACTTTTTGATACAAACACATTAAGACATAAAGGACCAAGTCCAAATGCCCCCTCCCATTTTTCTTCTTTATTTCATTCATTCTTTTTTTCACTTATGAAGTGGTCTTAGGCAATAGTGTTGTGCAACTACCACCTCCCATAGTTGTAATTTCCAATTACAGGATACCCCCCACCCTCCATCGACTCCTTAAGTATGGATTATTGCTGAGGATTGAAAGGCACCTGCTGGCACAAGTGTCTAATCTGGACATAAAACATAACTGTGATTTAGTAAATCAATACATTATACTTAATAATATATACAATTGATAATAAGAAATCTTGTTATCTATTGTTTATAAATAGTTCCTTAAGGAGACATGTTATATTGAATGTTGAATATGTATCATATCATATATAAATCCAAAATAGTGATTGTTTTTCTTAATATTCTTCGTATTACAGAACCGCGTGAGCGCACCCCCTTTGCTCCGTCTATGTAGCCACAAACAAACAGTAATCCTTGATGGTGTTCTTTCTCTTGTGTGCCAAGTAATCCTGTTAAAACTTTTCTTTTCTTCGTCTTGTAAACCTCTCTTCCAAGATCAAATCCACACAATCCAACTTAATCAGGATTTATCCGTATCCTGAAGACAGAGACTGTAGCATGTGCCTCTGCCAAGATGTTAAATGGCTATATTTAAGCCCCTGGACTTCTTTCTTGTGAAGTTATTACCACTTGATCCCTGCATATAAGTCGTGACCTTTTCTTGTTTCCATTAAATAAGTCTTAAATTGACCCAAAGTTATACTATAATTCAAAGATTGTTAACAATTTGTATTTCAACAAAGTGGCGTTTGCTTGTATTCATCTTCATCACATTTCTTTTTGTGGCATTTTAATGCCCTAAACAGTTTAATTGGCGTTATAAGGCATACATGCTAATCTCTGAACTAAACCAGAATGAATGAATCAAACATGAATGAGTCAAAAGTGTTATACTCACTTTGACATGTTGATGGAAGTTATAGATCCAGTCTGCAAAAAATCATTGAGAGTTTCAGTCATAAGAACCACCGATGAAGTTCACTCACCGTTGCAGCCTATGGCAATAATAACTTCTGAATTACTTACTAGTAGAGAGAGTACATTTATGATTTTACAATTATATTATCATAAACAATCATAAGCTTAAACTTAATTTGAGTGGTTGAAGTATGCTGTTATTTTCCTTTGAACTTACTAAAGTTAAAAACTTTAAACTATTAACTACTACTAACTATAAACTTTAAATAAATACTAATCCTCCTGTGCAATAACTGCAATATCATTATCTTGAGTTATTATCATCTCAATATATTTCTAATGTGCCACTGGTCAGACGGATCACTTACGTGTCCTCAGGTCTGTCAATGAGTCTTCTCTGCGGTCTTCTGTAATCCGTCACTGTTGACAGTGGGTGTGAGTGCCAATCACTGCCTCCTGTTTGCTTTTATACTATGACTTCTAAACCTTGGAGCCCTCCCTATAGCTTATGCAGCCTGTCAAAGAGGGCTATTTCAGAGCAAATCTGATTAATGCATTAGAACACTACTGTTTCGGACCACATGCATGTGTAAAAATAATATTGACTTCAAAAGAATAAGTTCAGAGACGTAGGCAGTTTTGGGGGTGGGACAGATTGCAATAACATAGTCCTGGAAGAAAACTGTATCAGCCAATTTGTCTTTGTCGGCTTTTGAATAAATCTCACATTTTCTACAGTCGATGTGCACTCCACATTTTGCATATTATGAATATTGGGACTAAACAACACACAGTTGTTTAGTGTGAGTAAATGTTAGAAAAACAGATTTTTCCTAATTTATATATAATGGTGGGGCAAATGGCAATGTGTCCACTGACATCAGAAACTCTGGAGGTGAAAAGTTTCTCAAAAATGATTGTAAAAACTTGGTTAAATTTTAGTTTTTATTGGCTCAGTGATAAATACTGTAATGAAGTAAAACTTTGCTGCAAACTATGAGGTTTTAATGCTATAAGAGCCTCACTGAGGTTAAAACATTGTCTGTAAGGACTATGTGTGAATGTTCAAGGACTTCCTTTCTTATAGCTTAGACAGGAGTAGAGTGGTATTAGTTGGATTTTGGTTG